GCACCTCTGGGGGTCGCAGCTGGCAGGCGTGTTCCCCATTGGGGAAGAAAACCAGCCCTTGCAGAGCGTTGGATTTCCAACTCCGGGGCGCCGGCATCAGCGAGCAAGGGGGGCCCTCTGGAGCGGGCAGTGCAGGAACTTAACCTGGCGTCCGTGGTCGGGCTTAGGGTGCTGTGCACCCCCCAAATCCATGGGAGAAATGTCGTGTGTCTGGTTACTTTTAGGGGAAAACCTGGAAGTTCACAAGCTCAGCCAGTGCCACCTCCAGACAGCGGCCAGGCAGCCTACGGCCAGCAGAGGGCGCTCGGCCCAAGGCTGTGAATGGCTGGGAGCTGGCTCAGCTGGCAGGGGGCAGGAAGATGCCAGCTGTAACTTGGCTGGGACCCGGCTGGGCCCTGGCTGGGCCTCCTCCTCCCCCGAGATGCCCTCTCCTGCTACAGAAGCTGCTGGGGCCACGACCACACGGCGGTCCATTTGTGCCCTGGCTGTGTCCAGCCCAGCTGGGGACTCCTTGGGATAATGGGGAGCTTTGCAAACTACCCCTGCCCAGGCCTCATCCTCAGAGACTGTCCTCAGTCGGTCTGGGGTGCGTCCGCACAGATGTCCCCAGGGCTGAGATTCACTGTGCGGGATCCCCTTTGACTTTCCCAGTGACCTCGGGGGAGGCGCTGTCCTCGTTTGTACCCATTTCACAGACAGGAGCTGAGGCTCCGAGGTGACGAGACTTGCCCAAGGTCACACCCAGGGTGCCCCCAGGGCGGTGACACTGAGCCCTGGGCACTCTTGTCCCTTCTTGATATGCACAATGACAGCACCACCTCGGCACTGCTGCTGTCCAGGGCTTGAGGATTTTCTGGGATGCGGGGCGCTGGCTGTCCAGCCTAGCAGAGTGTTAGCCTGAGCGATGCCTGCCCGCCCCCCCATTGCCAGGAGGCCCACACCCTAAGCCCCCTGAGGCTGTAACTACAGCACCCAGGCGGGAGAAACGCTTTGCAGGCGTGACCAAGTGTTTTGAGGGGAGTGGGGTATTGGGGGTTGGCGGGGTGGGCCCCGATCTATCACAAAGGTCCCTCTAGGAGTGGAGGAGGGGGGAGGGGATGAGGGAGAGACGGAGGATGGGAAGCAGCTGGGTTGGAGGGGGGAGGAGGAAGGGCCGCCGCTGAGGCAGCTGTGGAGGAGGGGCTGCGGGCCTGGGATTCTGCCCCCGAGCCTCCGGGAGGAGCCGGTTCAGCCAGCACCTGGACTCCCACCGGACGCCAGCCCGGAGCTGGGACACGTCAGCTCCCGACTGTGAGAGAACAAGGCTGTGCTGCTCGATGCCTCTTCCTCTGTGGCAGTCTGCTACAGCTGCCATGGGGAGCTGCCCTCTTCCCCTCCCTGCACCCACCCGTGACCACCAGCCACGTCTGCTGACTCGTCACATGCCCAGGATGTGGGTGCGGTGGGCCTTTCGGGGGAACTAAAGTTACCCTTTACTGAGTTGTTCCCGTGTGTGGCCTGGCCGGCTGCCTCCCCCATGATCGCGTGTAACCCTCTCGAAAACCTGTCCCCAGTGGGCCTGACTGCCTCCCGGGCCCTGCTCCGCGGCAGAAGGCGCAGGGCCTCTAAGTGGGCAGCGGGGGTGGGCGCACTCAGACAGGGAGGGCAGAGCCGGGGTCCACCCCCAGGACCTCATGGTCTCCGTTCCAAGCCTGCGTGGGCGCACCCCATGCTTCCCATGGGTGGCTGGGGCTGGGGCCGCTCTCTCTGGCCCCAGGTCTCCTGGCTGGAGGCCTTTTCCTGGCTGAGCTGCTCCTCCATCAGCCTGTGGAGACTTAGCTGATGGCAGCAAAGGCCAAAGGTTCCCGGGTGGGGGTAGGGCAGGAAATCAGTGAGTCACAAAAAGTGAATCCAGGTGGTAAGAGCCAGGCCGGTCATTGAATCCCTAACAGCTTTCTTTAGCAGCATGGTCTAGAAGCCCGGTGGCCTAGCTTCAAATCCTGTCTTTGCCCTTTGGGCCTAACCTCCCCGAACCTCAGTTTGCCTGTCCGGGTGATGGGCTCCTTGAGGATCAGCTGCACCTGCACGTCTAGTTTGGTGGCTCGGGAACCCTTATTTCCCAGGGCCTCTGCAGGAAGAGCGCTCACAGAACACCAGTGCTGGTCCAGCCGGTCCCTCTTTCACACCCAGTGAATGGGTGGGGTTCTGGCTTCCTCCACTGGGTGGGAGATGGGAGTGCGCCTCTGGGTGATGGGTTTACGATCAGGGCTGGAAAACTCTGGCTCAGGATCCGGAAGGCTCAGGCCCAATTACGGGCTTCCCTTGTCATCACAGTCAAGCCATTTAGCCTCCCTTGGCCTCAGTGTACTCATTTGCTTAAGGGGGTGATGACAGGATGCTTAGAAGGCGCTGGGTGCTCAGCAGGTCGTCATGAGCCTAAGCTCCCCCGACGTCAGGGGTGGACCCGGATTTGCCACAGCAAATGACTCCTATCACCAGGACCAACGGAAGATGATGAATCCTGGGGTGGGTTGGCGGCTACTTTTCTCCCCGGTGAGGATGTAAGGTCTGGAGCCACAGCAGCCTCTTTGTCACCACCAGAGCAGAACTCCTCAGGGTGGGAAGGTCTCCATGTGAGAAATCCAAGTCTGTGGGAGGCCACGCAGAGCCATGGAGGCACCACTGGCCACGTGGGTGGAGGTGCTGGAGGAGGCCTTCCCTGGGGTCGGTTTGTTTCCGAGAGCTAACGTATGTGCGCGCGCACACACGGTTTTTTAGAAACAAAAACTTCAACAGGTCTGCAATATGTCCATCTACACCTCTTCACAAATTCACAAATCTACACTTTAAAATCTCAATTTCAGTTATGTCTTCAAACCTCAGTTTCCTTTTTCCACTTGAAATTTCATCCCCACGTTCACCGGGTCCCCTCTCTCACTCCGGGCCAGCCGGACTGACTCGCTGATTTCCTGCGCAGCCTGAGGCTCCGCCCCCTCTCTCTCCCCCGCGCTTTGCCCCGGGACGTCCTCCACGTGCCCCCGTTTAAGGAGAGAGCACCCCCCCTGCCTCTTCCCGAGAAAGGGGCCGTGGAGAGGGAGCCTGAGAGCCATTCCGTCGGAGAAGGTCCTGGTAGATTCTCGCTCGGTGAGGATGCCGCAGGGCGCGGCAGAGCCGGGGAGAAGGCACCTCCCCGGGACCCGAAGGCACTTTCCCTGCCCCTCCCGCGCTGCAGTGGCACCATCCTGCCGTTTGGAACAGCCGCAATGTGATCCTTGCCACGTGGTCCTCCTTTGTCTAATCCCGAAGGCTTTTTGGTGTCTTCCCTTTGCCCCCGGCTTTCCGAAGCGTCCTCATGACAGGTGCCCTGGCCGGGGCTGTGCGGTCCCTGGGCCGAGCATGGGGGGCGTTCCATCTAGAAATCTACGATCTTTCTGTGGAGCACTTTATTTGTTTGTTTTTTAAAAAATAATTTATACCTCCTACTGTATCCACACTCTTTCTTACGAGCTATAAGGCTTACTCAATTATTCCTGTGGATTTCTCACTTCTCTTATTGTCCATTTTACAAACAGATCTTTATCTCCTACCTGGGACATTTTTTCTCGTTGTCTTCCAACTCTTCTATTGTTTTTTTATTTTATTTTATTTTTTTAATTTCAGCTTTCATATTTAAGATGTCCAGGAGCTTCTCCTCATTCTCCTAAACTTTCTTTTTTTTTTTTTTTTAAACAAACTGTTCCTGCTTCCTGGCTGTGCCAGCCTTTATCCCGCTTGGAGGGTGTTAATGATGGAGCTTTTCTTCCATCTCCGGCATTTTTCTCTGGTTCCTCATAATTCCTCTCTCTCTTTTCTTTTTCTTTTTTGTCTGACCTTCCACTTGGAAGCTTTTTTCAAATATCTCGTGAAAATATCTTTTAAAATAAAATCCGATCTGAGTAGGATTTTTCTGTGACTAAGGCTACTGATGACCCCGTACCTGCCCACCATGCACCCCTCCCCCGCAATGTACAGCTGCCTGCGCCCGCTGATTGCACCCCGTCCCCCAAACACTGTGTGAAAGGGGTAGAGGAGGGACAGGTGCGCCGGGACGGCTCAGTGACTGGGCGTGGACACAAACACGCAGAGTGACTCAGCTCCACGACTGTCCCTCGAATGAAGTGCCTTCTCTTTCCTTCAATAAGGAAAGCCCCTCGGAGCTTGGGGAACCCTGGGAAGACACGCCCACACCCCTCCCTGAAGTGGACGCCCTGCGTTTGCCGCTCAGCACCCTCCCTCCCCCTTCCCGGGGCGGGGGACACAGGCAGGTGGAGGACTTCGCTCCGCCCACCACAGCAGTCTATCAGAGGACTCCTCTCTCCCTGATTGGCTCCAGGATCCGCATGGGACCCATGCTCGACCAATCGGAATTCGCCCTGGGCCACGTCTCCAGCAGCGTTCGGTTTGAAGCGTTCTCTTTCTGCTGGGTCGCTGAGTGGGCAGGCCATCGCTTTGGGCGACTGGGGGCCACAGAGAGAGAGAGCGAGTCAGAGAGATGGAGAGAAAGGGGCCTTAAAACAACGCGTGAGCCCCGGGATCCAGCCAAACCAAGGGGTACCCGGATCAAGTGAGGCATCCCTAGGTTTTCCAATGGCATGAGAGAAGAGAGTCCCTTTTCTAAGCCTGGGTGAGGCGAGTTTCAGCCACTTGCAGCCCCAACGCTCCGGAATTACCCCCTAGATTCTGTTTCTCGCTCAGTCTCTAATGTCACCTGTCCGCTGAATCCCCACAGGTGCGGAGTCCTGTCTGCGCTCACCTGAGACCTGTGGAGAGGCTGGGAGGAGGGAATGGAACGGCCTTTGTGAGCAGATCGTGGTGGTTTGGGAAAATGGCTTCTGTGGGGGTCCGGCCTGGGCCCCCACCTCCTCACGGCACCCCAAGTGGCCCGGGGTTGCCCTGTCATTCTGCTCTTGGCCACCGCCGACCCAACCCCGGCCCAGCCCGCGGGCTGACTCATGCCGGCCGCAGGTCAGGAGGCAAGAAGGTCAACAGCAACATGTTTATGGGGCACGGCGCACAGTACAGTGCAAGGGCTCTCGGGCCCCGCTGGGTCCCGCCCACCTCTGTCGGAGTGTGTCCATCCTCGGGCCTTTTGTCCCAGCCCCACCTCCCCCAGGGCCCCGTGCTGGGTCAGTCCACCGAGGGGCTGTCTCCTGTGGCTTCTGGGTCCCTGCTTCCAACGGTCATGGCTTCCAGGTGGGCAGTGACGGTGTCCACGTCGGGGCCGGCCTGAGGACCCTCGCGAGGGGCCTGGCCTCCGGGCTCTGCGGCTTCGGACCGAGGAGCTGGGGAGGGGACAGCAGGGGGGAGACGCGTGAGCTGCCCCGTCTCCGAGAACCACGGCGATTTGGTTCACGGGGGCCCCGGGCCGCTGTCCCCCGACACAGGCCTGGCCCCGTCCTTTCTAACCTGGGCCTTTGCAGCGGCCCCCTGCTCCTGCACGCCCCCTCCCCACTTCGTCCTGCCCCCCCTCTGGTCCTCACGGGGACTCTGAAACTGCGCACCGCGCTGCGTCAGCCCTGCCGCTGACCCTGCGGGGACCAGACCCCAGGGCTCCCCTTTCCCTGGGCTTCCGGCCCCGAGGGACCCCGCCCTGGCCCGTCGGTGCTCTCCCTCCCGCGTGCCGAAGAGCTCGCCCTGTCCCCACCTTAGGGCCTTTGCCCCTGCCTTGAGGCCCCCAGACCTCTGCTGGGCTGGCTCAGGTGCCCCCTCCTCCCAGAGCCCCCCCTGTTGCCCGCCGAGGGCAGGGCCTCCCGCCACGGCACTGCCCGCTGTCCCCGGCTTGGTGGCTCTGCACAGCGCTGGCCTTTCCTGGAAAGGCCGGGTCGCCCTGCGAGCTGTCTCCGCTCCCTGCTGGACTCTGACCCCCAGGGGCGGGGACAGTCGTCTGTCTTGCTCGGGACTGTCCCCCAAGTGAGGCAGCACTTGAGGGCGAGAGCGGCGAGAGCCGGTGAGGGCACAGAGGAGCCGCATCTTCCTCACACGGGACATGGGGAGCGAGGTGGCTACGACGTCACTTCTCAGCAAGAATCGGGGGCCTGAGTGACTCAGGGCGGGTGGGAGAGAAGAGAGGAGGGGTATCATGTTCTGGAAGGTTCCAAGGAGGGGCCACGGCACAGGCGTGGGGCCTGAGCGGGCTGTTTTCACCATCCTCATCGTACGGGTGGAGACCCGGGCTCGGTGCTCAGGGACGGGTTGGGTCTCGGGCTACAAAGAACTGGCCCCACACCCTCTGACACCCTCTTCACTAGGACACTCCTCTGCCTGCCTGACTCTGGGCAGTGGGAGGCTGATGCCTGCCTGCTGAATGAATGGGTGGGCGAGTGAATGGGAGCGAGAGACAGACAGACAGACAGAGAGAGAACTTTCAGAGGCCCCACCGCGCCCCAGGCTCACCTTCATCCCCGGCCGGCTCCCCGGCCGGCTCCCCGGAGCCCCCGCTGGCGTCCCCCGGCCCGGCCCCTCCTCCTGGGCCAGCCTTCCCCAGGGGGCCGATGCGCATCCTGTTGCTGTTGCCGATGGTGGCATCCTCCAGGAAGCAGGACTTTACGAGGACTCTCTGGGTCACACCCCCGGCCCCCTCAGTGGTTGGAGGTCCTGGTGGGGGCATGCGAATTTCGAATGAAGCTTCCGGGTCAGCGGTGGTGGCGGAGACTGTGGGTCCGTGGGCGAGAGATGCCGGGCGGGATGTGAGCTGCTGGGCGGGGCCCAGAGGCAGACCCCCAGCCTGGCCTTCAAGTCCCCCAAGGCCATCTCTGGCCCCCCCCCCGCCCCCTGCATGGAGCCTGTGTGCTCGCTGCTCACCTGCCCGCCCGCCTGCGGCTGCGGGCTCCCTGGTCCCCCGCCCCCACCGCCAGGTCAGCCAGCTTGGGTCTTGCCTCCTCCCGGTGGCCCTCCATGCTGTGCCCGGGACTCAGCCACCCCCCCTGCTCTGCCCCCTGCCCCTCCCCCGCTGCTGTGGGCTGCCCAGCAGCTCTCCAACTGGGAGCGGATGCCCCCAACTGGGGTTCAAATCCGCTCAATCCCCCAGCCCAGTCCCCAGCTGTCCTGCTCCTGCCCGTCCCACCCAAACTTGGAAGAGACTTGTCCACACTCAGTCTCGCCTCCTCCCACGCTCCACGCTCCTTCTGTCCCCTCAGGCCACCACTGACCCCTTGCTGCTGGACCCCACAGAGCTGCCCGACCGTGTTGGCCGCCCTTCTCCTGGAAACTGCGCCCCAGCTTTCCCCTCCCCCCAGGCCCCACTGCCGGCTTTCTCCCCCAGCCCGCTCCCGGGTCACCAGTGACAGGGGGGATGCCGCCTGGGCCCTCTGGTCTCCCTCGACAGTGCTTAGCAGGGCGCCAGGTGCAGGGGTGGCTCCTGTCCGCCGCCCTCCTTAGGTGCCCCTGCCGTCAGCCACCCCTTTGACTCCGCCTCAGCCGGCCCGGCCCCTGCAGCGGCACGCCCTCGGTGCAGAGGGAACTAACTCTGCGGTTTCCCGAGGGGCGCAGCAGGGCCCGGAGCGCGAGCACTAGCTCTAAAAGCCCCACTGCTCCACTCTGCGGTGCATCCTCTGGTGGATGGAAAGGAGTTTCCCATCATGCCTCTCTGCCTGCAAATGCGAGCCGAGGGTCCTCCCATCCAGGGAGGAGCCAAACGGGGCGGGGCGGGGCGGGATGGCTGGGTGGTCACCTGGGGGGCTGACGGAGAGGCCGCTGACGGAGCGGCTGCGGTTGGGGCCTGTGGCCGGCACGTAGGGAAGGCTCATCTCGTTGTCGTGTCCCAGCTGCACCCGTCTGAGGACAGACTTCTCTAAGTGGATGTCCTGGGACCCCCAGGATGCAGCCAAGGGGTCCTGAGTTGAGGGATCAGCTGGTGCCGGTGCAGGGAGCCAGGGGGAAGCCGTGGAGCCTGGCAGGAAACACAGCAACATGACCTCTGGCCTCTACCCTCTGACCTTCCCAACACCCGCACACACAAAGTCCTGGACGGACAGAGGAGACAGGCCCTGTGATCTCTTCCTGGGCACCATCGGCCAGGTGCGCCCAGGAGAATGTTCGTGCGGGGTTCCCTGGGGTCGTACCCCTGTGCCGGGGGTGTCTCCAGGGCACTCGATAGTCAAACAGTGAGCACACCCTCTGCTCGCTAGGCATTCTCAGGCCCCGGAGCCCCTCGGGAGAAAGCCCCGCATCCTTAAGGAGAGCTCAGGGCTACCTCCGAGGCTTTCCTTTTCTCAGTATTGTCTTTACAGTGACCTTCCTGGTGTCCGACATCAGGTAATGCCATGCGTTTAAACTTACCGTAGTTTGCCATGCAGAATGCATACATTTTTGCCCAAATTTCTGAGGGAAAAATAACGGTGTGTATTATACACGGATAGTGCTGATTCTGTATCTATAGAAATGCTTTTAATTCTTTTATTCACGCTTACGCATTCAAGTGTAACTCCAGAAAGCAATCCGTATGCAGAATAATATCCTGGAATACGATAATCTGTTTTGTTTCTAAATGTAAATGCATAAATAATTGAATTAAAAAATTATAATGAAAGATTTTTTTCCCCTGAAAGTTTGGGCCAAAAACGTGGGTGCATTATACATGGCAAATATGGGACTTTAAAGTGAATTTGAGTAGAAGGCAAGGTACACTGTTTAATGGCAGGAGGTCGACAAGCAGACACGGGCCTGGCCAGAACCGGGCGGGGGGTGGGGGGCGGGGGTCAGAGGACCGACGTCGGGCAAATGTCGATCTAGATTCTAGAACAAAGCTCCTCGTGTCCCAGTTGGGAACACAGACGCCCAGAGAGGAGACGGGGGTCTCTTGGGATCACACGGAGTGTTCCCACTTTTGGGCTGTTGTGCTGACCGGTGTCACTGGGGTGGGGGGGGCGGAGGGTGGCCCTGTGCCCTCCCACCGTCCTGACAGGACAGCGTTTCATTGAAACTAGGACGCCACTGCCCTGGCTGGGCAGCTCAGTCGGTTGGACCATTGTCCCCATACATGCAAAGGTCACAGGTTCGATTCCTGGTCAGGGCATGGACAGGAGGCAACCGTTTGATGCTTCTGTCTGTCTGTCTGTCTGGCTGGCTCTCTCTCTAAAATCAGTGAACCTATCCTCGAGGGAAGATTTATAAAAACACAACTAGGGTGCCGCTGGTGAAATGCATTCCAGTATCTGAGATGATAAAATATGGGGGGGGGACTGCGTGTCTCAGAACCAACCTCGCACTGAAATCACCCCTCGGGACGTTCTACGGAGGGAGGGTGGACTGAATCGCTTCTCATGGGAAAATATCGGGTCCCATGAAAAATGAGGCAAAAGATATCGGAATGAAGGGAAATCAGGAGGTGGTTGATCCAGGCACAAAGAAAGACTCCTTTGTTCCCAGCAGGCCACGAAGGTGGCCCTGGGCCATCCGGAAGCCACCCTGCTCCCCGCACCCTCCCAGGCAGAGCAGCTGCCCCCAGAGGTACCTTCTGGCCACTCACTGTCGTCCCCATGGGTCTCTGGTCGCATTATGCTGTTCCCATGCCCAATCTGGACGGCTGTGGCGTTCCCGATGGAAATGTGGCTGTTCGGTCCGTCCTGACAGATCATGTTGATTGGATTTTGCTGATAAATGATATTGGTGGCCTGACTTCTTTCCCTAGAATCTTCTGCAAAATAGAACTTCACTCAATGCCTTTGCCCCTCTTGGGCAGGGGGCCCGGATGCCAGCTTGCCGCACCAAAGTCCCCTGGAAAGCTCGGAGACACCGATTTCCGGGTGTCTACCCCAGGGGTGCTGCATTGCCAGCATGTTTGACAAATGCCACCAGCAACTTGGATGACCCTCTCTTGGATATGGTCATGGCAGGTCACCCCTACCTATGTGTCCCCCGCCACCCAGGGAGAATCATAGGACCTCACCACTCCCCTTGCCGTTCCCCCTCGCCCTTCCAGGCAGCCCCAGGATGCCCACCGAGCGCCCTCGATCCAAGGCTGCAAGGTGGCCATCCGTGGGTGGCTTTTGGCCACCAGATAAACTGCGTCTGCCTCACAAGGCAGTTTTAAGAATTTGAACTCATCCCCAGTGTTTAAAATCCAGCTGCCATCACAGGTCATCATTCTGAGGATGCCGAGACCCCCCTGGGGGTCTCCAGGAGCAGGGGCGTCCACCCCACGTGGGCCAGGTGGGCACCAGCCCGGGGCTTCGCCGACTCCGCACACGGGGAGTCCCACCTTCGAGGGCCCATTCTGCCGTTGTTAAAATATTTAGAGTACAGGTTATGGCCGCATTGGGATCAAGAATGTAATCTAGGCAAGAGTCATTACTAGCCATTCATTGTTATTACCATGTTCGTTTTCTCCTTCTGACTTGAAGAGAAATTAGAGCATTCCTCCGGCCTGTGCAAGCGCTGTGGGCTCTGGGCGCTGTGCCTGCTGCACCTCGTGGATAAGATGTCCCGGGACTCCACCCTGTGGCTATCGGGGCCCCGCCCGGTCCCCTCCACGCTGGGCAGAGCGCTTGCGGGAAAACTTCGAGCAAACTCAGGCTGAGCCCTGCACCCAGGGCTGGTACCTCCCTCCAGCTCCTTGCCTTCCACAACTACAGCCTCGGGCCATGCCTCCAGGAAGCCCTCCCTGGTTACTCCCCCAGCACGCCCCTCCCTCCAGGAACCCCCTCCCTGTGACTGGTCAGCAACACCACTGAACACCACTGTACGCTTCCAGTAAGTTCTGAAGATGGGGCAGACCAAGTGCTTAGTGGGGTGCCCAGCAAGGACCAAATGCTGGACCCCCACTAAGGACCAAGTGCTGGGTGTTAGGGTGTCTCCTCCTCTGCTCTCCTCAGGTGTAGGAAGCAGGTAAGGGCCTACCTGGCTGATAAACCGCCCATGCATTTGAGTTCTGGTCATAGTTCAGAAGGTGATTGTTTCTCATGGCGTACAAGTCTGGGTTGACTTCTTTTGCCGTCTTCAGCCCCAGGGACTTGGCGATGACCAGGGCCCTCGAGGGCCCCCTGTCTTTCAGGAACCTGTAGATCTCTTCCTCTGGGAGACAGGATGGCGGGTGGTCAATGAGGAGCCCCGCCCCCCCCGCCCCCCAGTTTGAATCAGCCCACTGCTTCCTGGCCGTGGGACCCCGGGCAGACCCACCCCCTCTGCGCCCGGCCCCCTCCCCTGTCAAATGCGCAGAACACGGATGCGCACGGGGGCGGTCCTGAGGGCCAGGGACTGACCGCGGACGCTCCGGGGCGCGGTCTGTGGACCACGTGGGCGCACCGTGAATGCCCGTTATCCATCGAAGAGATCAGCTCTCGGGCAACTAGCCCTTCAACCGCGGAGACGGAGCGTTGTCTCCGAACGCTGTGGGAGCCCCTCAGTGGGCGGGCCACGGCCCCCGAAACCCCTGTAACGCCTCAAGAGGCCAAGGAGAGTGTGGGGGTCAGAACACGTGGCCCCCCGGTCCCAGGATCTGAAAGGAAACGGGTGCTTACGCTGTCTACTCAGCTGGCAGCCGGGTTTCAGGGGAACCGCAACCGTGAGCTGCCGGGGCCTCTCCGCTGCGGAAAGAGAAAGGGGTGAGACCGGGGAGGAGGCCAGGGCTCTGCCGGACGCAGACGGGCCCCCGGCGTTCCGAGCTTGGATGCTCGAGCTCAACGGAGTTGCCTTCGGGTCCTGCCCGGCCTCTTCCCGGCTGTTGCTTCCCTGCTGCCCCACTTCCCCGGGGAGGGGGTTCGAACCCTGCCCCCTACCCTCCGGCGAACCCTGCGCGCTGCCCCAGCCCGTGGTAAGTGCTGGACGGATGCCAGCTCCTCGGGGGCATTTGTGGGCCGCGGAGCTGGAGGAGAGGAGCTATGGGGTGTTCAGTTCCTTCTGTCGTCGTCATCATCATCATCAGTTATTGTCCTCCTCATTAGTTCCTGTTTTTATTATTACAGTTTGCTAAGCACCTACTATGTGCCGGCCCTAGGCTGGACCCTTAGCCTATAATCTTGCAGCTCTACACAGCAGCCCTACTGTTACATCCGCTGGCCAGAAAAGGCCATTGGGGCACAGGGAGGGGACAGGATGCAGCTCGGAGGGGCGGAGCCTGTATTCGCACCCAGGCCCGGGTCCGGCCGGCCCTCCGCTGGGTCTGCTGGTGCCGCACCCCACCCGCTCCCCGGGATGGCGGGTTACCGTTGCGGACCAGAGCCAGCTCTGTGGAGACCAGCTGTCCAGTCCCAGGCCCGCCCAACTGCCATGTGGCGGAGCCAGCGAGGGCCACTTGGGACTCTTTCATCATCCGGTAGAGAGTCTGGTTGAGTTTCTTCTTGGGCACTTGGCATTCCTTCACCAGCTGCGCAGTCCTCACTGGGGACCCAGCACCCCTCAGCACCTGGAGGATCTTCTGCTCAAGGTCTAGAGGAGGAGAGAGGGGTCGGGGGGCAGGAACTGAGTGCAGCATATGGGAGCCTGGGCTGGAGGCTCCGAGTGGGGGGCGGGGGGCTGCAAGAGAGGGGCCTGGGGCAGAGGCCCATGCAGACACCTGCCGACACCTCTGCTCAGCGCGGGGCACGCGGGCTGGGCAGACACGACCTTGGCTGGACGGCCTGGTGGCCTGAGGAGGCGCCCGGGCCGTTGGCGTGTCCTCCGCCCACTGTGAGTGGCTGCAGGGCAGGTGGATGCTTGGCGGGCAGGTGTCCTCAGAGCAGAGGGGACTGGAGGGGCAGGGGCAGTGGGGCAGAGTCTCCCCCCGCACCCCGTCCCAGGAGGCACGCCACTCCGTCCCCAGCTCCCACGGCCCTCCGTCCCCGCTCCGGGACTCGGCATCCCCATCGGGGTGTGCTGCCCTCACCCAGGCTGGACGCCTAACAGGCATCCAGAGGCATCCCTCTCCCGCTGCCCACGCCCGGCGCCCTGGAAGTACTGTTTCTGGTGCCCTTGAGGCCCTCTCCTCCTCTCCTCTGCTTCCACCCCTCCTGGGCAGGGTCCCCCACACCCCGCCAGCGGCTCTGCAGGCGCCGTGAGGACGGCAGGGAGCAGACACGGTGCCCCAGCCCCCCACCCACACCCCAGGGAGCTGCCGAGAGCTGCTGTGGGCGGCAGCCCAGCCTGTCACCAGGAAACGTCGGCCCCCAGGAACCCCAGGGGAGATGCTAGGCAGGGCCCGTTTGGGGGAAGTCCGGTGCCCTTCCAGGCGGTGGCAGAGCTAGTAGTGGGGGGAGGGGCCGTCCGGTTCCGGGCTGTACAGCTCGGGGTGCAGCTTGCCTCTGCGGTCAGAATGTTTTCGTCGCCTCGGGGTGGGTGGAGCGTGGATAGAACACCTGGGGGCACCCCCCCACCCATCACATTCGGCCCCAAACAGTCGTCAGCCCCCCGGAAATCCTCGTCCCATCGACAACGCACTTGGCTTCGCCTTGTCTTGGAAAGAGCTTTGATTCTTGAAAAGCCTGCCCCAGGGGGAGCCGCCTCCCTCTGCCCGAGTCCACCTCCCCAACCGCAGAGCAGACAGACAGGAGGTCGGAAATATGGAAATGTGGGTTAGAGGAGGCGGGGGGGGGGGTGCTGAGTCCTCCAGCAGTGGGAAGTTGGGACACAGACGGGGTCGGGGGTGTGGGTGAGTGACCATTTGGCAAGGAAAGGAAAACCCTCCAGGGAAGAAGTAAAATTTAGTTACCAAGTGCCCTCGAGCGGGACCTGCGAGCCCCAACGGGGACCTGGGGACCTGTCCGGGGCCCTGGGCCACGGCCTGCCCTCCCCCCTCCCCCGCACCCTCTCTTTTCTTCTTTTCTGCTCGCTGAGGGCGATAGCGCCCATTTCCAAGATTGTGGTGAGGGTGCAATGAGCTGATGACCATGATAACAACAACAAACAAAGTCCAAACCACACCCACAGCCCCCAGCTACGGGGGGACACCTGCGGGGTGGGGGGGGGGTGGGGGGCGGAGGGGTGTGGAGGGCTGGGGAGGGAGGTGAGCCAGGAGCGAAGCGCCGGCAGACGGAAGAGTGTGCATTGTAATCAAAGCCACAGCTGCTGTTTCTCCAAATGAGCATGAAGGGGGGAGCTGGGCCCCAGCGTCGGCCCCGGGGCCTGAGTCATTCTGCCTCCCCGGCCTCAGGTGTGAAGCGGAAGCATCGCTGTGCTCACCGCAGAGGCCACTGCGAAATTCGAGGCCAGCGGGCAGCCAGGTGCCCTGGGCGGAGGGAGGCTCCTGCACCAGCCCATGCTCCCCTCCTCTTCCTGGGTGCACCGGGGTCCAGGGTCCCTTCGCTGTAACTGCTGTAATCTGAGCCCCGCGAAGGAGCTCCGTGCCCCCCCCCCCCAGATTCCCACTGTTCCTTGGAAGGAGGGGAGTACCTGTCTCATCAGGGTCCGAAGACGCCTCGGCCATGCTGCCAGCAGCTGCTGGAGACACCTGGAGCCTCGGGGGTGCGGTGGCCGGCTCCTGCGCTGTGCCGTGCAGAGGGCGGGCCGGGTCGAGGCTGGGTATTTCTGTGTGGCCGAGCCTGGGGCTTCTGGCAGCTATGACAAGAGACCAGCTTCGTGGGGCAGGTGTCAGCTGTTCACACCCGGAAAGAGCGGCCCAGGGAGCCCGGACTAATCAGCTTAGTGGAGAAAAGGAAAATGAAACTGCTGTGTGTGGTTTCCTAAAGAAACAAAATTGAAAGCAACATCGATGAGCAAGAGGGAGTGGGGGCCTCTGACCAGACAGGTGCTGGTGAGGAACAGATGAGTAAGGCAAGACCAGAACTCCCTAGGGATGGGGGCTCCCCAAACTTCCAGGTGTCCCTCAGTGCCCACCCTGACACCCCCACAGCAGAGGCTAAGACACCTGGGTGGGTGGACAGATGCCAGCAGTCATGTACGTCTCAAGTGAAAACTGTCTTTAATGAGCGCCTACTATGTGCTCTCAGATCTCCTGTGCCAACCGCCCCTGCGCCCCCCAACAGCCGCAACTCACCTACAAGGGAGGGACTAGTCCTGGCCTCTTTTCTCAAAGGGGAAACTGAGGCTCAGGCCCCTCCCCCACACATTTACTGGCTCTGCGACCTTGGCCAAGTTATTTGGCTTCCCCCTGCTTACTGGTCTGGTCATGAAAACAGAGACCTCAGCGGCTGGTGGTGGTGAGGACCAAGGAGACGACCCAGCTGAGCTGCTCAGAGCTCCCAGCACCATCGACCGTCACGAGCGCAATTGGGGACCCCCATGTTTCAGGACAAATAAGCCCCGTCACTTTCACAAGTGCCGACCCCCAAACAGCTCAGGGCCACCGCTCTCTTTCAGGCACCAGAGGGGAAACCGAGGCCTACAGGGACGAAGGGTTTTGTGTACAAGGCAGCGAGGAGAATCCAGACCTCGGCCCAGGACGCCCCTGGGCCCGAGGCCCCAGCTGCACAGGCCTGGGCGGCTCGAGGGGGCGCCTGCTCCCTCGGAGGACGCCGGCCGGCCGGCAGCGTTTCTGCAAAGGCGGGGACGAAGAACAGCGATCGCGGCGAGGGAAGAAGGTCCCGGAGGCCCGTGGAGCCGCTGCCTTTGCAGAGCGAACAGGAAAACCCTGCTGCCCGGTCCGCACCCGCGCCGGGAAACCGGAACCTCTGGGGCGGGGCCCAGCGACCCGAGTGCTGTCACGCAGGGTGCGGGGGTGGGGAGTTGGCCCATTCATGAAAACAAGGAAACCACAGCGGCGCGTGTGTTCCTCTTTTTTATGTAAAACCGAAGAAATGTGTATCTGTATCTGAACAGATGAATTGATTTTAAACGCAGGGTTGTCGCCGGTGTTAAGATTGTGGAAGGGGGTCCAGAGGAGCCCCCAGTGGGCCCTGGGAGGCACCATGCCAGGACTGGCCGCCAGGTGGCGCCTGCTCACCAACCTGGGCACCGGCCCACCTCTGCCTGGCCCCCCTGATGGAGAGGGGGGGCACCTGCCTCTCACCCATCATCTCCCCAGGGAGACGCGAGTCCATCTGGCCTGACCGCGGCCCTCCCGTGTCGTCTCTGGCTTCTCCTCCTCAGGCTCCTTGGCTCCTTCCCAGAGTGCCACTCGCCTGCTGCCCCAGGTGCCTGGCCTGGTGCCCTGGCAGGTGGGGCTGAGGGACTCAGGCTTCACCCTGAGGGTCAGGCTGGCTTCTGGAAGGCCCACGCGTGTTTCAGCGGTGAAGGCTGGCACCCTCGTGGCCATCCAGGCAGTGTTTGGATGGCCCCTTCCTGCCCCCGGGGTCCCTTCCTGAAGCTACGTGCGGGCTCCCTGCCCCCCACAACCCCAGCTTTCTGGGAGGTTCCCAGGGACTGGTGGCAGGAACCCCTGCTGGGAAGGTGGAGCACCCTGCCCTGGGAGGCACGGCCTTCCTTTCCCAGGCAGGTCCTGCTCTTCCCGAGCCGAGGGTCACGACCTCTTGGAGCCTCAGCTTCTTGCACTACAAAACAGAGAGAAGAAAGAAGAAAATGCGTATCTGTGTGCTCTGTAGGGGCTCACAGGTTAGAAAACGCACCAGGATGCACCTCTATGAGACAACCTTAGGCACTAGGCGGAGGAAGAGAAATCGAAAGAAGGGGGAGAAAATGGTCCAATCTGGGAGGGTCCCACCTTCCCTAGCCTTGCCCAGCACGCCTGGAATTCTCGGAAGCCCTGACCCTGTGTGAACATCTCACTGCGCTAAGTGGGGTGCTCGCTTTTGAAGATCTGGATTGTCTTTTCGTTTTCTTCTCAATGTGAGAGATTTTCAAGGTCGTTGTGACTTTAAGGATTGCCTTTCCCCCAAACGTCAGTGGCTGAACCAATCCAGGCACCCCTTCCTTCCTCCTCTAACAGTCTAGAGGACAGTCCGGGGTTTGTGTGCCACACCCTGGTGTTGAGACCCGGGCCCCTTCTATCTTGCTGCTCTGCCACTTTTGGCCTCTATTCCGAGGTTGGCTCTGTGTTCCAGGATGGCTGCTTAAGTTCCAGCCATCACATCTGCATTCCTTCCAGCAGGAAGGAGGTCAAGGGAAGAAGGGCCTGTAGCTCCCTTTTCAGAACATTACCAACTTGTTCACATTCCACTGACCTTCCAATTGCCTCATGTCCGGGCAAAGGGGCAGGGGGATGGAGAAAATAGTCTTTATTCTGAGCCAAAATGCACCCAGCTAAAACTGAGGCTTCTACTACTTAAAATATGGGACAACAGCTATTGGAGGACACACAGCTGTCCCTTCTATCGCGAGGGTCTGCTGTTCCTCCAAGGAAGGAGCGAGGCTACTTCCTATGTACACCCTTCGGTCTGGCCACTCACAGGGCCCATTCATTGCTCATGTCCAAGGCTGAGGTCAAGGGCGGATTCCACACACGCAGAGCCTGCTGCCCAGCGTGGAAGGCAAAAGGGGAGAGGAAGGGAGGCAGGGACGCCGGTGCCCCCTGAAATTTCTCTTTGCTTTGAAAAGCACACTCTTTGTTTCATGGCTCCTGTTTTTCTGGAAACTGTTAGAACTCTCCACCCAAACCAGATGATAATGACATGTTACTGATCTCGAGTCTTTAAATTTCTCCCTCGTGCTCTTTTAAAAACAAGATATTTTTACTGCACACGGTGTCGGCGGAACCCAGTCTCCTTCCTCCCAGGCAGCCTGGTTGTCAGGGTCGCATTTGCTCTGTGCACCTCTCTCGGGGGTGAGAAGGGAAAGGTCAGAGGGCACCCAATGTGGGGAATAGCACGTCTTTGGTCGAGGACGAAGGTCAGAGAACCGGAGGTGGCCAGAGAGGGACCGGGATTGGACAGGGTTGCAGGAGCTGCTGGAGGGGGGGCGGGGAGCAAAGACCGAGCTGAGTGGCTGCACCCCGGACTCTGCTGCTGCTGCCTGTCCCGGCAGAGCTCAGATGTCTGTGCCCGTGAGAGCCACGCAGGCCTGGGGCTCTGCTCCCGGCCCGCGCCTGTTAGCTGTGTGCCTGGAGCGAGCCCCCATGTCCCCCGAGCCCCTGTTGCAGGCTTGCCTCGAAGGTCGAATGAGATCATGCCCCCGAGGAGCCAGCAGAGAGCCCCCCTGGGCACGGGGCATGGGGCCTGTGCCCCGTAAACAGGAGCTGGTTGCAGTGTCCTTGCAGGATCTCCAGCTGTCCCTCTCTGAGGTGGCAAAGCAGTCCCACTGATTCAGCTGGTCACCCACCCAGTAATTTATTGTGCCGTCTTAGCCCCAGGCCACATGCTGGGGTCTGTGGTGGGGGGAGGGGGAGCAGGAGAAAGACCCCATCATGCTCCCTGGATCCACTTCCCACTCCGACTGCGGAGGAGGCCCTGTTCCCCAGTCCGGGACCGACGGGTGCTTCAGGCCCAGTCCCGGGTCCCCACCCCCCCGCGCCCACCGCTCAGCACCACTGGCCAGCAAAGGGGACCTGGGCAGCAGGTGGGACTGAGTCAGGGAGCTGGGCGGGCCCAGGGACTCGGCCCTGGTAGTAACTTGGGATTATTCCCAGGGGCAAAGGAAGGGCCACTGGGGGAGTGTCACCCAAGGGGAGGCAGGGGTTCGGAAAGCCGGCCCTGGTGCCTGAGAGCGGGGGCAAGGGAGAGAGAGGGGAAGTGGCCGGCACCCGGCTGTGCTGTGCTCAGGCCCTTCCTCCCGCACAACTCATTGCGGAGAGCCCTCCCCCACCTCCGAGCAGATACATCAAAGTGAACGCGCATCTCATTTGTTATTGTTATAATCCAATGATTTTTAAAAATCATTTTGCTCCTAAGATTATTTGCCTACAAGAAAGTCATTCAATTACAACCGGCCACAAATTCTTCACCGGAGTGTCCAGGAGTCTTGGGAATTGTCTCAAAGTGAGACTGTCTCACCTGCACATTTGTTTCAAGTGTAAGTAAGTGCCATGCAATTTTTATGATGACTGAATGGAACAATTAATGAACTTGACATGTTAGGCTTCATAGACCTTTAATTAAACGTGTATTGATTTCGATTGTGCGATTTTTTTCCCTCCCTGTGTTTTGGAACTCAAACATTTTCAAAGGCATCTGGAAGACGGAGGCGCTACGACGCCAGGCCCAGAAAGCAAGAGGAGTCAAAGGGGGAGACAGCACCCTGAGAGACCGGAGTCCCTCCGGTTGCGGCCTGTGGCGAGTGGGGGTGGAGGGTGAGGGTTTGGACGCGGATGAAGTAACCACAGGCCAGCCCCAGACCCGGGCTCGGTGGCTTCCTCCGCCGCCGGGGCCGGAGAAGAGCAGGCAAGAGGAGTCGAACTCCAAGAGTTAAAAAAAAAAAATGTTTTTCAAGTTGCTCACTCAATCAAGTTAGATGCTTTTAAAGACAAATGTAATTGTTTTGAGCTCAGTTGAAAGCCTTTTAATAAACCGAACATCATGATTTCAGCTCGCTCTCTCAGGGCTAGCAGTCAGGGCCGGGAGTGGGCACAGAGGGGAGGGAGTGTGGGGGAGGGGTGGGGGACACGCACACCCACACAGACACACGTGTGCACGCGCGCGTGGGTATTTACTTGAACATTTTACTTGAACACTTAAGCCTATCACTTGTTCCACAGCGTCTGATCGTGAGGCTTTTACAATATTTTGTTTTATTTTTAGAAACAGTTCTTTCTCTTCGGGACAACTGTACGGAGTGTTAGAGAAAACGCGACGCCGCCTTGGCAGACGCCCGCGTGTCCCGGCTCC